CAATATGTCTCCTGAGCCCTGCTATATACTCTGCAGATGGTAATTCACGGCCACTATGTCAACTGTTGGTTCATTTTCCACTTGAAACCCTTCATCTGAGTCACGTTCACGTTTTATCCTTGCAATATTCCACTCATTTAGAGGGTCGAATGTTACCTGCAATATATGCATGGTAGGAGCACCAAGAAGTACAACCCACCCGCACTTCAACATATCGCATACTAAACAAAACAAAATATTTATGTTGTTCTTCGAGGCTGTGTTCGGCCCTCAGCTGATGCTGTTCACAAATGCTCATTCATTCAAATTTTATTTTGACAAATTTTATTTTGTCCAGTCAAAAAGGACATTTTTTAAACTATCTTTTGTTATGTATTGTTTCGTGTACAGGTGTTTTGGATGTTTGCAATTATTCGCGTTTTAAATTCGTGGGTGACGCTTCATCTGGGAGCTTTGAACGTACTCAGCTGCAAATTATTTTGTCGAACAGAATCAAAACACCTAACTTATCCTATACCTAACTATACATAACAGAATAATATGTAAAACATTGTTATATTAAAAATATATATAGTGCTTGATAACACCGAACGAAACAATTATTGAAAACATCATTAGGCTTGGCGCCTTCTTTTGATAATTACATGTATATTCTTTCATAATTAGAATGTTAATAGTTTCTTGATTGATAGCAATCACGTCCTCATCCATTACACGGGCCAATTCAATTGTGTATTCTTATTAATCGTTTTCTACAGAAATAAAATAATCCATCTTCCATGCAATTCAGCTTTTTATTCAATGATTATTGAATTACTCCTTTATGGAGTGTAGTAAAAATGCTGTATGCAGTTTACCTACTTAAAATTATCTACTAGATTAAGGACCTGCCCGAAACGCTGTGCGTACTAGTGGCTTTACAAGAATGTAAATACTGTACTATCCAATGTATTCTCACAAACCCAATGTACCTTCTTGTATATATATAAATAAATAAATAAATAAATAAATAAATAAATAAATAAATAAATAAATAAATAAAAGTATATCTTAACGGGGTGGAGCTGTTATTGTACCGAATGTATGCTCGCTTGACTGTTGTTGTTTTTGTGACCGGGAGATCAGCTGTATCGTGCAGGAATGCAGGTCGGTGGAATGTGTTCTCTTGATTTCTGTTTGTCCTAGCTTTGGTCATATGCAGTTTGCTTCTTGTTGTAGTGAATGGACAGTGCTTGGACTGTATAGTAGTAGGCATCCATCAGTCATAGGAGACTATGGAGTTGCGCTCTGGTTGTCGGCCTGGAGTAGCCTCTCCAGGGCGCAAAGCCAGGGTAGGTTGACATGGAGGAGAAGCTGTCACCCAAGCAGCAGGTTCCTTCCCCTCTCCACGGCGCCGAAAGTCTCCACTGGAAAGGCAAACGCCAATACGATTGGTTCCAGCGCCGTCGCAGGAACTGTCAGAACGAGGTTGAAGGCAACAACGAACTGTCCTAGGGGCTCCAGTTCCGGAGTTAACCTCGAAGTTGGTAAAAGAAGGCACAGGGACTCTAAACCCGGAGACCGCCATGGTCGGGGCCGGAGAAGAACCACCCTAGCAAGGGCAACAACGACCCCAGCCTCCTGAAGCAGAGCCTGGGGGGGGCCGCACGAGCCCCAGGAGGTGAACTTCCGAGTTCTGCACCTACGGGTTCCAGACAGAGATCGTCACAGCCTCCTTTCACCCGAGGTCGGCTTCCTTCAAGACCTTCCTTCCCTCAAGACCTTCCTTTCTTCAAGTATATATGTATTGTATATTATATGACTTGTTATTGTTGCAGGATGTAACTGTATTGTAATTATTTGATCAATAAACCCGCAGGTCTGGCGGCAAAGCGTTTGTTTACTTCATGGAGTTAAGCTCCGATATACAGAAAATTAGGTTCCATTAATAAAAACTAATAATTGGTAACTAGCAATGATGGTGGTAATTAGTTCATATTAACGACACTTTTGATGAACCGTATGAGTGACAATATTAGCCTAGCATTTCTAAGTGTACTTCATTATGGATCAAAATGTGAAACAATGTGAGGTTTTAATGCTATTCTACGTACTTACTTCTGGCTAAGATAATATATTTTCTCCCCTTCAGTAGGATATTATCCTCGTGACACCGAGATAATTAATAAATAAAATAAACATATTTTTGATAAATTATATGAATGAAGGTGACAGCAGTCACCACGCAGCGGTCAACATAAGCCTACGGTTCAGAGGTTTTTTGCCCTCTGAAGTACAGTATAATTTGGAATCTAAGACTTGACGGGCGTCACATAGATCACCTTAGTCCATAATGCTGTGCATTTCAACATAATGGTGGAAGCCACCTTGTCACATCTCTCACCCTCCACACCTGACTGACCATTAGTTTTCTGCCCTTCAGTTATTCCCTTACACAATTCAGTGTCTTCCAGGAGTTATAATGGATGAGAGGTAGTGGTGGTTGAATGGTGGCGGTGGATGAGAAGTGGGGAGGGTTAAAGTAGTGGTGAAGGAGGAAGTGTAGTGGAAGGGGGGGCACCCAGTACCCACACGTGAGGCCCCGGCTCCATCACTTCACATACATTTCTACTGTAATTTGTCCATTGCAGTGGTTTAGTCTTAATTTCGTGCGCTCTGTTGCAGGTGGTTTTTACTTTAGTTCGTTTTGTCTTACTTAATCCCCCAGTGACGTATTTTGTGGTAGCCTCCGTTTTCTTGTAATTTGTGGTAGGACTTTAACCTTAGATACTTTGTGGTAGGTCTTTAACCTTAGATACTTTGTGGTAGGTCTTTAACCTTAGATACTTTGTGGTAGTCCTTTAATCTTTGATACTTTGTGGTAGGCCTTTAACCTTAGATATTTTGTTGTAGGCCTTTACCCTTAGATACTTTGTGGTAGGCCTTAACCTTAGATACTTTGTGGAAGGCCTTTAACCTTAGATACTTTGTGGTAGGCTTTTAACCTTAGATACTTTGTGGTAGACCTTTAATCTTAGATACTTTGTGGTAGACCTTTAAGCTTTGATACTTTGTGGTAGGCCTTTAACCTTAGATATTTTGTGGTAGGCATTAAATACTTTTTGGTAGACCTTTAATCTTAGATACTTTGTGGTAGACCTTTAACCTTAGATAATTTGTGGTAGGCCTTTAACCTTAGATAATTTGTGGTAGGCCTTTAATCTTAGATAATTTGTGGTAGACCTTTAACCTTAAATAATTTGTGGTTGACTTTTAACCTTAGGTACTTTGTGGTGGACCTTTAATCTTAGATGCTTTGTGGTAGGCCTTAACCTTAGATACTTTGTGGTAGACCTTTAACCTTAGATACTTTGTGGTAGGCCTTTATCCTTAGATACTTTGTTTTAGACCTTTAGCCTTAGATACTTTGTGGTAGGCCTTTACCATTAGATAATTTGTGGTAGACCTTTAACCTTAGATACTTTGTGGTAGACCTTTAACCTTAGATACTTTGTGGTAGGCCTTTAACCTTAGATACTTTGTGGTAGACCTTTAACCTTAGATACTTTGTGGTAGGCCTTTAACCTTAGATACTTTGTGGTAGACCTTTATCCTTAGATACTTTGTGGTAGACCTTTAGCCTTAGATACTTTGTGGTAGGCCTTTAACCTTAGATACTTTGTGGTAGACCTTTATCCTTAGATACTTTGTGGTAGACCTTTATCCTTAGATACTTTGTGGTAGACCTTTATCCTTAGATACTTTGTGGTAGACCTTTAGCCTTAGATACTTTGTGGTAGGCCTTTACCATTAGATAATTTGTGGTAGACCTTTAACCTTAGATACTTTGTGGTAGGTCTTTAACCTTTGATATTTTGTGGTAATTTCGAATCGTGCATTGTTTGTGGTGTTTTGTCAATATTTTGGTTTGTTTTGTATCTGATAGTTTAGTTACACTCAAGGGTTAGCAGTACACAAGTTGTTAAGTAGCAGTTCCAAGTTGTCAAGTAACAGTACTCAAGGGTTAAGTAACTACTCAACGGTTAATTACCTACTCAAGGTGTCAAGTAACAGCACTCAAGTGTTAAGTGACAGTATTCAATGGTTAAGTAAGGGTACTCAAGGGTTAAGTGACAGTATTCAATGGTTAAGTAAGGGCACTCAAGGGTTAAGTGACAGTACTCAAGGTGTTAAGCAACAGTACTCAACGTGTAAAGTAAAAGTACTCAAAGATTAAGTAACATTGCTTTAGAGTTAAGTAACACTACTCTAGGGTTAAGTAACAGTACTTAAGGTGCTAAAATCACTAGGATCGTAGGGTTAATCTCAAGAAATTAACTAATGGATTAAGTAATGGGTTCCAAGAAGATAATTGACATTAAATAAGTGTTAAGTAAGTTCCTAAGGCGCTACGTGACCACACATAAGGGCTTATCTTTGGGTACTTAAGGGGTTGGTATAGTACCATTGGTTTACGCCCCGGAACCTAAGAGGTTTTCATAGTACCCCCTGGTTTAAACCCGATACCACAAAGCACGTGACTCCGGCCAGCCACCAGTGTCATCCGAGCCGAGCGGGCCTAGGCTTCTCTGACCGTTCATAAAATAAAAATCCAAGAAGACATCGGTGTTTATATCCAGTCCTTACCAACACGTACCAAAAGGAAGATAGCAATAAATTAAGACGTAATAGAACGGGGTCAAGAAACAAGTTTCAGTTCTTAAGACTTGGTCTATAGGAGCTAAGGTTAGGCTAATTGTGAGGAGAAATTGCCAAGCCAAAATGACTATACAGCACTTAAAGATGTGAGGATAAGTATAAGCTAGCTAGGGTATAAGGATGGAGAGAAAGAACGGTGCCCAACCACTTCGACTATTGGGGATTGAACGCCGACCCTGCAAGAAGCAAGTTCGTCGTTCTACCGACCAGTCCAAATGGATGGATGCCTATGTCAAGGAATCTAACCCTATAATTTAGAACTAACACTTAGCATCCACACTAAGTGATAATTAATAAACGGCTGGTGGACACACTATATTCTCCACAATTAAAAAAAAATTACATTGAACACAAGAAATTTTCTTAACAAAATCAGAGCATAAATACAACAAAAATACTCCGCTAATAGTGTTCAAGATTATACAATAGCATAATACATTTGTAATAAATTCCATTAACTTACATCTCTGACCGACTCGTCCAAGTACTTCCCAAAGTTCCAATTCATGTTTTCTAATTTTTAGTTTTTAAATTCACAACACTGTAAGAAAAACACCTTTGATGGTTTAATTGAAAATTTTATCATTGCAGATTTTTTTTTTTTTTTTGAGAAATTCCTGAACGATGAATGGGTGAAGAATGTTATTTGCACGATGTCGTAAAATCAATGGGGAAACACCGGAAGCGAGCCATGGGTTATTATGGGTGAAAAAAGTAAAAAAAAAAAAATAGGCTTAGGACACATGAGATTAAAAACTTTAAACCTCGTAGAGAATGCGATAGACACCACGAATGAGACACAACACGATGAAGGATGAATGCTGCTGAAGAAAGACATAAAGCCAATGACTCCTGAAGACATAATGACTGAAGAACACTTTCAGACATAATTAAAAAACTATACAAATCAACATTTCTAAAGATAGTGAGCCAACACTATCCAAATATGAGCTATACACTAGTAATTATGACTCAATAATTGTTTTTATTTTACGACAGGTAGACAGTACAAACGAAATTTACATGCATATATAAATTTCTAAATCTAAAACACAAGTCGACTAATGTAAGTGGTTTAAAACCTGAACCTGATTAAGCATTTGAACTATGGCAACTTAAATACAAAATTCTTTGATTTAGGTGCATGAAGTGGATGTCCACTACTATACACAAATTCATGATTAAGGTCATATAGTGCTGGGTTAGGAGAAAGAAAGAGAGAGGGGGGTCACAAACTGAAAATGAGGGTATAGAGAGTTAAAATAAAAGGAGGGAATAAAGAGAAGTATATAAATGGAACGAATAAAGATAGTGAGTGAGAGAAAATAGACAGAGAACGAGAGAAAGTAGCATTTAATGACCATTCGTCGTCAACTGGTGCTTCGTTATAAAAACCTCAGCTATAAAACTAATATTTGAGGAGCAACGGAAGCTGTCCGCCATACGGGCAGCGACAGTCATCTGAGGTAACTCATATATTTATATATATGCAAATATTGCATGTGTTAGCAGTAGAGACACAGGTACTACAGTTTGGTTGGTTACTGGTACACTTAATATACAAATTAAACACAAGCGCGACAACGACACAAACTTGCATCGCTCACATCTTTGCTGAAATTTAGGGAACTAAGTCCTTGGCTTTGAATATATTGAGTTCCGAAACGAATCTTAAATTTATTGAACCACCAGAAAGTTCAGGAGGTAAAGGAACCAATGTAACATCAAAACGCTGTCATTTATTTATCGAAACTTACTCGAAGCATTCAAGCGTGTTCCTGGCGCTCCACACGCCTCAACAAACTCCAGAAGAGATCTCTACTGTTGATGCCTCTGGTTCTTCCGTAGCTGCTTCTTATACCGCTCCATAAACTTTTCAATCTTTTTGGGGCTGAGTCTCCTATCAACTACATGGGCGTAGCGATCAGCTGCCCGCTCAGCTCCGTGTTCGATGGCGTACTCTGCGATTTCCCACTTCATGGTCTTGGAAAGCTTTTTCTTCACCTCACGGCGACCTGTTTTGCTCTTCCTGCCTGAGGTGCTGGGAGTATCAGCGTTGGAGTCAGCATCTATGGCGGAGGCGCGAGTGACGCCGTAGGTGCGCGCGGTTCCAGGAGATCGGGAGGTTCCAGTTATGGTGGAGGCAGATGAGGCGACTGGAGTTCCATACACGACTCCCGTGTCAGAACTCTCAATAGGTTTGGCAGCACTTGAGGAACCCGAAGCATCGGCTGCTTGCGAGTTTTGAGAAGCGCCGTAGGAGCTGGTATCCACGAAATCACCTCGAGTCTGTTGCCCATAAGAGTAGTCATAATTACCATAATCAGGGCCTTGGTAGTTGCCACCACGGCGGCGACCGTAGGGGTCTGCACTACCACCTCCGCCGCCACCCCGACGCCCCATTCCGCTGCTGTAGCCGCCACCGCCGCCGAAGATTACCTTCCGCTTGAACCGGACGATATTCTGCCGTTCCTCGCTCAGGTCTTCATCCTCTTCTGAATCCAAATCCAGATTATTGTTATCGTCGGTGTCGTTATCGTCGGTGTCGTTATCGTCGTCGTCGTAGTAAAGGTCATCGCTGGAATCTAAATGTGTTTCCGGATCTAGGTGATCTCCAGGATCTAAGACGTCGTCGGTGGGGTAGGGTTCGTATTGGAGTTCGCTTGCCTTGAGGAGCCTGATCAGCGGTCCCTCGGCCACGGAGTGCAGCTCCGATGTATCCTCGTCGCTCGTCCATTGGTCAAGCATTCTCGCAGACACATCATCTGAAGAGACACATATATGAGCCGGCAAGATATCTGAGATACATTTAAAAGACCAGCCAGCGAAAACACGAGAAATATCGACCACATACAATTACAAGATGGCGAACAGATGCAATAAATTGATTGCAAAATTAATACAGTGTATCTGTTAAGTTACAAATCATTGACATGGTTAACTATTCTGGCTTCAACAAAAATAAATATAACTTTGAAGAACGCAATCAAAGAGCTATTACATATCAATAAAAATCGTATAAGATTAATTTTTTAAATTTTATTAAGTTGCAATCAATCTATATTTCCAGCCAAAGTGGATGGATGATCCAGCCTGTCCTCTCCAGCTGTCACAGCGTCACAAATATGATGTACTAAATTGGCCGAACCTAACCTAACCAAGGACCCAAGAATAGAAAACGGAACAGCCTGTCAACTATGTGAGCCGCTGTGATTTTGTACATATATGTACATCAATTTTGTGAGCCGCTGTACATCATATTTTGGTCGTTGGTTGACGATTTATACGTTAAAATGCAATGTACTATTTGAGAGGACGGCTGGCCTAAGGTAGTGTATCAGGTGCTAATAGAGGAAATTCTATAGAATTGAATTTGAATTTGATAAATTAAAACAAATTAATACTGCCGTAGCTTGTTGACTAGTATTCTATAATTCTCAGGCCAATTATTCACGTGGAAGGAATTGTTGTTAGTTCTTTATTCTACAACTACTACTACCATTCTTCCTACTCCTCCTCCTACTATTGCTACCACTACAACTACTACCAGTACTATTTTTACTACTGTTTACTACTTTACTTGAGGTTATCTTGAGGTTATCTTGAGACGATTTCGGGGCTTTAGTGTCCCCGCGGCCCGGTCCTCGACCAGGCCTCCACCCCCAGGAAGCAGCCCGTGACAGCTGACTTAACTCCAAGGTACCTATTTACTGCTAGGTAACAGGGGCATTCAGGGTGAAAGAAACTTTTGCCCATTTGTTTCTGCCTCGTGCGGGAATCGAACCCGCGCCACAGAATTACAAGTCCTGCGCGCTATCCACCAGGCTACGAGGCCCCTGGTTCTACTATTCTACTACTATTCGTAAGTTCTTACGAATAAAGCCGCCGAGACAGACTAGGCTGTTGAAGCGATCAAGCGACCAAGCCTAATACCAACTGATTCACAGCACCGGCAAATAATAGTAATAATAATAATAATAATAATAATAATAATAATAATAATAATAATGGCATTAGTACTGCTGCACTAACCTATTGCAACATATATGTATAGAAATTATATTTGAAGCATAAAATTAATTTCAGGAAAATAGATTTTAAAAGAGTATGTAAGACTTACCAATCGTGAATATGTCACCAATTTTAATCATTGCCAAGTGAAGAGGCATTGTCTGACAACACTTATGCTCTGTAACCCTTATCACCACCACAAACATCTTATGACCACCACAAACATCTTATCACCACCACAAACATCTTATCACCACCACAAACATCTTATGACCACCACAAACATCTTATCGCCACCACAAACATCTTATCACCACCACAAACATCTTATCACCACCACACACAACTAGCTTAACCCAGCACCCGGCTTAACCGGACCTGAGGGTTAACCCAGTACCTGGCGTAACCCAGTACCAGACTTAACCCAGTACCAGACTTAACCCAGTACCTGGCTTAACTCAGTACCCCACTGTGATACTGTCAGTTGGGTACTACTGTGAGAGTAAGCTTCTGGAGTGAAGGGAGAAGGGAAAGGGAACTATGAGGGAGAAAGCGCCAAGCCATTACGACTATGTAGCCATAGGAAAGGGTCAGGATAAGGATTTGAGATGGGACGGAGGGAAAGAATGGTGCCCAACCATTTGGACGGTCGGGGGATTGAACGCCGACCTGCATGAAGCGAGACCGTCGCTCTACCGTTGAATCCAAGTGGATTGAAGAGTGAGCGTCAGCCTGTAGAAGTGTGGGAGGTACCAGTGGGTGGTATTCTGGGTTCCAGTACCAGTGGGTGGTATTCTGGGTTCCAGTACCAGTGGGTGGTATTCTGGGTTCCAGTACCAGTGGGTGGTATTCTGGGTTCCAGTACCAGTGGGTGGTATTCTGGGTTCCAGTACCAGTGGGGGGTATTCTGGGTTCCAGTACCAGTGGGTGGTATTCTGGGTTCCAGTACCAGTGGGTGGTATTCTGGGTTCCAGTACCAGTGGGGGGTATTCTGGGTTCCAGTACCAGTGGGTGGTATTCTGGGTTCCAGTACCAGTGGGTGGTATTCTGGGTTCCAGTACCAGTGGGTGGCATTCTGGGTTCCAGTACCAGTGGGTGGTATTCTGGGTTCCAGTACCAGTGGGTGGCATTCTGGGTTCCAGTACCAGTGGGTGGTATTCTGGGTTCCAGTACCAGTGGGTGGTATTCTGGGTTCCAGTACCAGTGGGTGGTATTCTGGGTTCCAGTACCAGTGGGTGGCATTCTGGGTTCCAGTACCAGTGGGTGGCATTCTGGGTTCCAGTACCAGTGGGTGGTATTCTGGGTTCCAGTACCAGTGGGTGGTATTATTGGTTCCAGTACCAGTGGGTGGTATTCTGGGTTCCAGTACCAGTGGGTGGTATTCTGGGTTCCAGTACCAGTGGGTGGTATTCTGGGTTCCAGTACCAGTGGGTGGTATTCTGGGTTCCAGTACCAGTGGGTGGTATTCTGGGTTCCAGTACCAGTGGGTGGTATTCTGGGTTCCAGTACCAGTGGGTGGTATTCTGGGTTCCAGTACCAGTGGGTGGTATTCTGGGTTCCAGTACCAGTGGGTGGTATTCTGGGTTCCAGTACCAGTGGGTGGCATTCTGGGTTCCAGTACCAGTGGGTGGTATTCTGGGTTCCAGTACCAGTGGGTGGTATTCTGGGTTCCAGTACCAGTGGGTGGTATTCTGGGTTCCAGTACCAGTGGGTGGCATTCTGGGTTCCAGTACCAGTGGGTGGTATTCTGGGTTCCAGTACCAGTGGGTGGTATTCTGGGTTCCAGTACCAGTGGGTGGTATTCTGGGTTCCAGTACCAGTGGGTGGCATTCTGGGTTCCAGTACCAGTGGGTGGCATTCTGGGTTCCAGTACCAGTGGGTGGTATTCTGGGTTCCAGTACCAGTGGGTGGTATTCTGGGTTCCAGTACCAGTGGGTGGTATTCTGGGTTCCAGTACCAGTGGGTGGTATTCTGGGTTCCAGTACCAGTGGGTGGCATTCTGGGTTCCAGTACCAGTGGGTGGTATTCTGGGTTCCAGTACCAGTGGGTGGTATTCTGGGTTCCAGTACCAGTGGGTGGTATTCTGGGTTCCAGTACCAGTGGGTGGTATTATTGGTTCCAGTACCAGTGGTGGTATTCTTGGTTCCAGTACCAGTGGGTGGTATTCTGGGTTCCAGTACCAGTGGGTGGTATTCTGGGTTCCAGTACCAGTGGGTGGTATTCTGGGTTCCAGTACCAGTGGGTGGTATTCTGGGTTCCAGTACCAGTGGGTGGTATTCTGGGTTCCAGTACCAGTGGGTGGTATTATTGGTTCCAGTACCAGTGGGTGGTATTCTGGGTTCCAGTACCAGTGGGTGGCATTCTGGGTTCCAGTACCAGTGGGTGGTATTCTGGGTCCCAGTACCAGTGGGTGGTATTATTGGTTCCAGTACCAGTGGTGGTATTCTTAGTTCCAGTACCAGTGGTGGTATTCTTGGTTCCAGTACCAGTGGGTGGTATTATTGGTTCCAATACCAGTGGGTGGTATTCTGGGTTCCAGTACCAGTGGGTGCTATTCTGGGTTCCAGTACCAGTGGGTGGTATTCTTAGTACCAGTGGGTGGTATTCTTGGTTCCAGTACCAGTGGGTGGTATTCTTGGTTCCAGTACCAGTGGGTGGTATTATTGGTTCCAGTACCAGTGGGTGGTATTCTTAGTACCAGTGGGTGGTATTCTGGGTTCCAGTACCAGTGGGTGCTATTCTGGGTTCCAGTACCAGTGGGTGGTATTCTTAGTACCAGTGGGTGGTATTCTTGGTTCCAGTACCAGTGGGTGGTATTCTGGGTCCCAGTACCAGTGGGTGGTATTCTTAGTACCACTGGGTGGTATTCTGGGTCCCAGTACCAGTAGTGGTATTCTTAGTACCAGTGGGTGATATTCTTGGTTCCAGTACCAATTGGTGGTACTATTATTAGTTTCAATGTCAGTGGGAGGTATTATTAGTTCCACTTGATGCTCATATGGGCGCAAGTGAATGACAAAGTGGTGTCAGTGGGCAGGATGTGTAAGTTCGCCAGGGCGAGTGATGACGCGGTTAAGTCAGTGGGTGATGGGGGGGGACTCTAGTGCGTTGTGGTGTGGGTATCAGTGGGCGGTGGTGTCAGGAGCCAGTGTGGGTATCAGTGGGTGGTGGTGTGAGTGTCAGTGTGGGTATCAGTAGGCGGTGGTGTCAGGAGCCAGTGTGGGTATCAGTGGGTGGTGGTGTGGGTGTCAGCAGCCAGTGTGGGTATCAGTGGGTGGTGGTGTGAGTGTCAGCAGCCAGTGTGGGTATCAGTGGGCGGTGGTGTGAGTGTCAGGAGCCAGTGTGGGTATCAGTGGGTGATGGTGTGGGTGTCAGGAGCCAGTGTAGGTATCAGTGGGTGGTGGTGTGAGTGTCAGCAGCCAGTGTGGGTATCAGTGGGTGGTAGTGTGAATGTCAGGAGTCAGTGTGGGTATCAGTGGGTAGTGATGTGAGTATCAGTGGGTGGTGGTGTCAGTAGCCAGTGTGGGTATCAGTGGGGGGGTGGTGTCAGCAGCCAGTGTGGGTATCAGTGGGTGGTGGTGTCAGGAGCCAGTGTGGGTATCAGTGGGTGGTGGTGTTAGGAGCCAGTGTGAGTATCAGTGGGCGGTGGTGTCAGGAGCCAGTGTGGGTATTAGTGGGCGGTGGTGTCAGGAGCCAGTGTGGGTATTAGTGGGCGGTGGTGTCAGTAGCCAGTGTGGGTATCAGTGGGGGGTGG